ATCTATCATTCATCACCCACCTAGGACATCCCAGTGTATGAGAGTAGCTTTAGAGCCACTTGGTGCAAGTGCAGGTTAGTGTTTGGCACAGTGTTTGTCATACGGTAGGCACCTGGCAGAATATTTGCTGAATGATTGTGAGAATTCTTTTTTAAAGTGATTTCTGGTTCTGAAAATTTTGTCTTTTTCTGACTTTATTCTCTCTCTTCTTGTCTATATGCATTCAGAATTTGTCATGAGAACTTAGAGGATATGTCATTCTGGTTGTAAGTCCTCATCTTTGTCCTCGAGGTAACAAAAAGAGAGGGGATAAGTGATGTGTTGGGGATGCCCTAATGCTCTTTTCACTTTGCACCTCAACCTTTTTACACTTATTTTAAGCCAAGCATCTCCGTTAACAGAGAACATGTAAAATATGGATTTAGTGAGCAGAGCTAGGTCAGAAGTCCATGGTTGATCTTGTAGCAATTTATTATTTGTAGCACTGGGAATAAGGGACATTTCATTTACAAAGCCACGATCAAAACTTTTTTTTGTTTTGACTACCATTTATTAAATACCTGCTTTTGTGCCAAGCACCGTGCTTCACAGAAATGATTTTATCTGACCATCTGTCTATGGAATCTGGACATTCAGTAATAAGTAGGAAGTAGGTAAGTAAAGATTTTTTTTCTCAGGCAGAAGAATTACATCATGTGGGTTACACTTTAGAAAGATGAGCATGATGGTATGTAGATGACTGGTGAGGTTGGTGAGAAACTGGAGGCTCTTGGGAGATAATGACCCTAGTCCTGTTGAGACGCAGTGAGGACATAAACCAGAATGACGGCATGGAGACGGAGAAGAGGGGTGAGGTTGGCTATTTAGATGAGATACATGTGATCCAAGGCCCCATGAGAAGGGGTCTGTCTTAATGGTGAGTTTTGGGTTTGTTGAGTTGAGACAGGATCTGATTGGCTGGCGACGTTCTCCTTGCATGCCATCTTTTATGAATGCTGAGTGTAAGGAAAGTCCATAAGTTTGGTCCCTAGATCTTTTTTTTTTTTTTTTAGTTGGAGTCTCACTCCGTCACCTAGACTGGAGTGCAGTGGCCGCTCCCGGCCACCACAGCCTCGACCTGCTGGGCTCTGGTGATCATTCCACCTCAGCCTTCCAAGTAGCTGGAACTACAGGCGTGCGCTACCTCGCCCGGCTAACTTTTTTGATTTATTGTAGAGATGAGGTCTCACCAAGTTGCCCAAGCGGGTCTTGAACCCGTGGGCTCAGGCAATCCACTCACTTCAGCCTCCCAAGGCACGGGATTACAGGCTGAGCCACCGAGCCCGACTGGTCCCCAGATCTTATTCAGACTTGGCAGTGGGGATCAGGGAAGAGAGTTAGTGGTTCTGGTTTGGAATTCTGTCTGCCACTTTTCTCTGCCTGAACCACAAAGATCTACTACTTAGCTACATGGATCCTTAACATCCTTGACTGAAGAAAGCCCAATAGTGATACTCTTCCCCTGCAGTAGTTATGTGACAGGATAACATATGTGTCTTGGTCAAGTAGGTGCTCCATGCGTGATCATTGTTGTTCTGGTTCTACTTTTTCTTAGCCACTCTTGCTCTCTCATGAATGTACAGTGGGAGCTTTCCAGGGGCTCTCTGGTGTGTCATATGGTACTACAGCAGATTGGATGCAGAGACAGGTATAGGAATCAGCTTTCTTCTACCAAGCCAGGCTTGAAAGAGATTTGCAACAATGTAAACAATGACACTCTTTTCACAAAATGTTTATTTTTGAAAAGTAGTCATAAAAGCAACAGTAAAAATACTATGCTGCCAGGCACAGTGACTCATGACTGTCATCCCAGCACTTTGGGAGGCCAAGGGAAGAGGATAGCCTGAGCCAGCAGGTTCAAGACCTGCCTGGACAACTTGGCAAGACCTCGTCTCTACAATAAATCAAGAAAAATTAGCCAGGGTTGGTGGCACGTGTCTGTAGAAACAGCTACTTGGAAGGCTGAGGCAGAAGGATCCCCTGAGCCCAGTAGGTCGAGGCTGTGGTGGCTGTGAGCATGCCACTGCGCTCCAGCCTGGATGACAGAGTAAGACTCTGTCTGACTCAAAACGAAACGAAACAAAACAAAACAAAAAATCCCCCCCAAAACTATGTTAACATGTGATGAGTTTATTACTGACACTTAAATAAAATTGTGAATAAATATTTGAATATTTGTTTTAAGTTTTAATACAAAAATATTGATAGAGATCACCCACATTAAAAAAAAAAACACCACTTCTCTTTGAAGGCCACAGTAACTTCTAAGTGTTGTAAAGGGATCCTGAAGCTAAAAGGCTTGAGAACTGTTGATACAGAGGTAGAGTGGGTCTAGCAGGCTGGTTTTACTTCTTAGGGTGCAAGCTCCACTGATCTTTTTTTCTTTCTTTGAGTCTTTCTTTCTTTCTTTCTTTCTTTCATTAGGGTGCAAGCTCCACTGATCTTTTTTTCTTTCTTTGAGTCTTTCTTCCTTCCTTCCTTCCTTCCTTCCTTCCTTC